GACGATCCGATCGGCTTTTCCCGCGCAAGTGAAAATATTTGAACATGGTTAATGATGGTATGCCCATCGGCAAGGCGTCGTCTGTCATTGTTTAAAACAGTATTCGAACCTTCATATTTAAAATAAAACTTTAAAACAAATCTCTGTACTGTTGGCGATTCCTCTGGCGAGCTGGCAAATGTGAGGGCAATGACAGCATTCAGGAAACTTTGTGCTTATTGGGGTGGGCCACCAATGAAACCTGGAACATATAACCCATCACCCATCATTTGAGATTTTGCTGTTATTGATGCAGTTCGATTTGCTAAATGTAAATTGGAAGTTTAGCAATGCAATAACTACTCACAAATTTTGTGGGCACTGGGCTGCGTCTATGAGAAATGTATCCGGACCGATCATTTATGAGTAGATCCGTAAATGGTCCCTCATACATGTTCATAGTTCGACCCTCCCTACGTACAAGAGGCTATCTTTTTTGGTGCTGCAGACAAACGGCTAACTTTTTGGGGCTGGCAGACAAATGGCTATCTTTTTGAAGGTGGCAGACAAAAGGCTATCTTTTTGAGAGTGGCAGACAAGCTGCTAACCAACATTTTCCTCAAATTTGACATATTATACTTTTCTTATGAAACAGAACACGGGCTTTCGAATGAGAGTGGTGCGAAAGTTGATAGTACCATACCTAAAAAGATATTCCATGTTGAAACTCGACCATAACCTCACACCCGCGTCCTTTACCCTCGGAACAAGCGGCTAACTGAAGCCGGCGCCGCACCGGTCTGGCCGAGCTGGCAGACTGAGCGGAGCTGCGAAGTGAGAGAGGAGCAAGCCTTTGGCGGTGTCGTTGGGGGGATTGCCCGGGCGGGGCTTTAGGTGTTATTACAATCAAAATGAGTAGTGTTCGGGCCCGCAAATTATTAGCAGCAGGTCTTGTCGCTGCCGGAGCCCAGACAACACAAAATAGATCGAATGATGACGCTCCCGCGGAGTCGCCTCTACCCTTCAATGCACCATGTACGTATAACCTCAACAAAGAACTTTAGTTTAGTTGAAAACTATTCTTTCACTTCATGTCTCTTCTTATCTTTTTGTTAAAGTATCTTGAGTGGGTTACTAGTTCTACCTAGGTATTTTATGTTCTGACGTTCGACTTTCCATAATTAGTTGTTTTGTATTCAATAACAGCCCCAGATCCAGCGTTCAGGGCTTTATTCACCAACAACAAAAGGAAAACTACAAATGAGCAAGATCTTACAAGGAATGTTCGGAGAAGGCTTGACTTGGGATCTGGGCCAGGTATGCACTTAATTTTACACGTAAAAGTGTCCTTGTATCATTGACACTAGCCTAAAGTATGTTATGTCTCGTACCACAATATTAGTGCTTTGAGTCAGTTTTGTTTTGAATCTCGTTTGGGATATGCAAAACGTTTGGACATCTGTGTACATCTCTCTAACTTTCATGTTTTCAGGGAATAAATGTGTTGCAAGTAAAGCTGCTGCTAAACCAGTTGAAGATACTCCGAGCAGTACTGTAGCTGGGCCATTGCGAGAGCAGAATCATGGGCCGACAACAGCAAAAGGTATCTATGTAATTTGTAACCATCAAAAGTCTCTACATAAATAGTTTTTTAGACCTCTCTATAGAGGTTCAAAATGACTTAGCCTTTACTGTCAACCTATTTGAGAACAATTTTTAATTCTATAAGTAATAATTTAGAGAAGGTTCTGACATGACAATTTTCTTTACTAGCAGACAGCAGAGTTTCCAGCAGCATTGCAGGAAAGAATAATTTACCTGGGATCGAAAATGTCTCAGTTTCAACTGTTCAAAGTAGATTTCACAAGAAGTATGATTCTCCTACCAATAAGTCATCATCAGCAACCACTTCCAGAAACACTGGTAATATATATTTTTTATTTTAAGATAGTAAATAATCTA